ATTAATTATAGAACGGAAAAAATAATTATAGAACGAAACTGGTAAATGTGAGAAAAATTGGGGAAAGCACAATTATAGAACAAACCAGAATTATAGAACGACGAAAAAAATTAGGAGTAAGTTAAGATAAGTTTTTTTCATACCTTCCGAGGAAAACAGAAATATGGAACAACAGGGTACGGTAAATAACCGTACCTTCGTACTCCTCAACTTCCGTTCTATAATTTTGGCACCTCCCATTTATATACACATTATATAATTATATGTATGTATGTATATATATATATATATTCCAGCGTGGTACGACCTCTTGGAACTAGCAATACTCTCGGTGTTGTTTTCATGTGCTTTCCATTGCTGTAGAAAGAACTGTCTTAGAATGTTTGCACCATCAATTGCGCGTCATGTCATCCGCTGCTGTCATTTTCCCTGAAACTAGAGCCTACTCCCACCCCGTCAAACAGGAACCTACTCATCAAATGACGCGACATGGTTGCCACTGGCATTCAGCAACGCTCACGCTAAGGTTGCTTCGCTCTTGCAGTAATGCTCACGGCAACGTTGCTACGCTCTTGCAGCAACACTCGCGTTCAGTAACGCTCACATTAATTGGGGTAGGTTCTTGGAGTAAAGCATTTCCGTATGTATGTTATGTGATGTGATGTGATGTTAAGTTATGGTATGCTATGTTATGTCATGTTTGTTTTCTTTTTGTTTTTGTTTTTGTTTTTGTTTTTGTATGTATGTATGTATGTATGTATGTATGTATGTAATGTAATGTAATGTAATGTAATGTAATGTATGTATGTATGTACGTATGTATGTATGTATGTATGTATGTATGTATGTATGTAATGTATGTATGTAATGTATGTATGTATGTATGTATGTATGTGTGTATGTATGTTAGTATGGTATGTATGGTACGTATGGTACGTATGGTATGTATGGTATGTATGGTATGGTATGTATGGTAGGTATGGTATGTACAGTATGTATGTATGCATATGTATGTATGTATGTATGTATGTATGTAATGTATGTAATGTATGTAATGTATGTAATGTATGTAATGTATGTAATGTATGTAATGTATGTAATGTATGTAGTGTATGTAATGTATGTAATGTATGTAATGTATGTAATGTATGTAATGTATGTAATGTATGTAATGTATGTAATGTATGTATGTAATGTATGTATGTATGTATGTATGTATGTATGCATGTATGCATGTATGCATGTATGCATGTATGCATGTATGCATGCATGTATGCATGTATGCATGTATGCATGTATGCATGTATGTATGTATGTATGGTAAGTATGGTATGTATGGTATGTATGGTATGTATGGTATGTATGGTATGTATGGTATGTATGGTATGTATGGTATGGTATGGTATGGTATGGTATGGTATGGTATGTATGCATGCATGTATGTATGTATGTATGCATATGTATGTATGTATGTATGTATGCATATGTATGTATGTATGTATGCATGTATGTATGTATGCATGTATGTATGTATGTATGTATGTATGTAATGTATGTAATGTATGTATGTATGTAATGTAGTGTAATGTAATGTAATGTCATGTGATGTAATGTAACGTAATGTATGTATGTATGGTATGTAATGCAATGTAATGTAGTGTAATGTAATGTAATGTGATGTAATGTAATGTAATGTGATGTAATGTATGTATGTATGGTATGTATGGTATGTTTGGTATGTATGGTATGTATGGTATGTATGGTATGGTATGTATGGCATGTATGGTATGTATGGCATGTATGGTATGTATGGTATGTATGGTATGTATGGTATGTATGGTATGTATGGCATGTATAGCATGTATGGTATGTATGGTATGTATGTATGTATGTATGTAGGTAGGTAGGTAGGTATGTATGTATGTATGGTATGTATGGTATGTAATGTAGTGTAATGTAGTGTAATGTAATGTAATGTGATGTAATGTAATGTATTGTATGTATGTATGTATGCATGTATGCATGTTAGTATGTTGTGTTTTGTTTTGTTTTGTTATGCTATGTTATGTTATGTTAAGTTATGTTATGTATGTATGTATGTATTGTATGTATGTATGTATGTATGTATGTATGTATGTATGTATGTATGTATGTATGTAATGTATGTAATGTAATGTAATGTAGTGTAGTGTAATGTAACGTAATGTGATGTAATGTAATGTATGTATGTAATGTATGTATGTAATGTATGTAATGTATGTATGTATGTAATGTAGTGTAATGTCATGTAATGTAACGTAACGTAATTGAATGTAATGTAATGTACGTATGGAATGTATGTAATGTATGTAATGTATGTAATGTATGTAATGTATGTAATGTATGTAATGTATATAATGTATGTATGTACGTATGTATGTATGTACGTATGTATGTATGTATGTAATTATCGTAATGTATGTATGCAATGTATGTATGTAATGTATGTATGTAATGTAGTGTAATGTAATGTCATGTGATGTAATGTAATGTAATGTATGTATGTATGGTATGTAATGTAATGTAATGTAGTGTAATGTAATGTAATGTAATGTGATGTAATGTAATGTATGCATGTATGTATGCATGTATGCATGTTAGTATGTTATGTTTTTGTTATGTTATGTTATGTTCTGTTCTGTTATGTTAGTATGTATGTATGTATGTATGTATGTATTAATGTAATGCAATGTAATGTAATGCAATGCAATGCAATGTAATGTAATGTAATGTAAGTATGTATGTATGTATGCATGTATGCATGCATGTATGCATGTATGCATATATGCATGTATGCATGTATGCATGTATGGTATGTATGGTATGTATGGTATGTATGGTATGTATGGTATGTATGGTATGTATGGTATGTATGGTATGTATGGTATGTATGGTATGTATGGTATGTATGGTATGTATGGTGTGTATGGTGTGTATGGTATGTCTGGTATGTATGTATGTATGTAGGTAGGTAGGTATGTAGGTATGTATGTATGTATGTATGTGTGTATGTATGTATGTATGTTAGTATGTTATGTATGGTATGCATGGTATGTATGGTATGGTATGTATGGTATGTATGGTATGTACGGTATGTATGTATGCATATGCATGTATGCATGTATGCATGTATGCATGTATGTATGTATGTTAGTATGTTATGTATGTATGTATCTATCGATCGATCTATCTATCTATGTATTTATGTATGTATGTATGTGTGCATGTATGAATGTAATGTATGTATGTATGCATGTTAGTATGTTATGTTATGTTATGTTTTGTGATGTGATGTTAAGTTATGTTATGTTATGTATGTATGTAGGTACATACGTATGCATGTATGTATGTATGTATGTATTAATGTAATGTAATGTAATGTAATGCAATGCAATGCAATGTAATGTAATGTAATGTAAGTATGTATGTATGTATGCATGTATGCATGCATGTATGCATGTATGCATGTATGGTATGTATGGTATGTATGGTATGTATGGTATGTATGATACGTATGGTATGTATGGTATGTATGGTATGTATGGTATGTATGGTATGTATGGTATGTATGGTATGTATGGTATGTATGGTATGTATGGTATGTATGTTATGTATGGTATGTACGGTATGGTATGTATGGTATGGTATGTATTGTATGTATGGTATGTATGTATGCAATGTATGTAATGTAATGCCAGGTAAGGTAAGGTAAGGTAAGTGAAGTATGTATGTATGTATGGATGGATGGTATTGTATTGTAATGCAATGTAATGTAATGCAATGCTATACAATGCAATACAATGCAATGCAATGCAATGTGATGCAATGTATGTAATGTATGGTATGTGTAAATATATATATATAAGTCATGAATTGTTTCTCAGCGTGTAACTGGGATTATTTGATCATGAAACTGTGGACGTTATACAAACACTTGCTTCTAGCGATGGGTAATGAATGGTAGAAAACAGTAGGATATCTTCATGACTAAAACACACCGATACAGATAACATGACTTAATCTCGACAGTGCATGATAATCAAAGCACATTAAAACATGGACATAGACCTGTTTTCTGCACACGTCAGTGGGTTATCCGCCTTTTATATTCATGGTAATCTCGGGATTGAAATGGTCATGGATGCCTTTGTGCGCTGCATCGCCGGTGTCAAAGACAAAATCAATCCAAACAAAAAATAAGATACAACTTGGTTGACTCAAACGCTCAAAAATGAGAACGAAAAACTCAGGATACCCTGTAGGGCCTGTAGGGGTTGATTTCAACACACACATATATATATGTATATATATACCAATAAAAAAACATGTTGAGTTGATAATGAAATCTATCAAATTGATATCTGAATTCGTCACGAAAAATATGAACAATAAATGAAATTACCACTTCAAAACGTGCCTGCAACCGCAGCTAAACGCCCGTTTTTTAACACCAAATGTTTGTTAATCCAAATAACAAACTAGCTGCGCAAAAAACTGCTCATCAAGAAGGCCCTGGAGTTCGGGCAACCCTCCGTCTACCCAACATGTTGCGATACTTTTAAAACAAACCATGTCCGAATTGCTGCAACTTGAAAGAAGTTCCCAGAAGCAATGTCCAAAATGGATTTCATATTACAAAGTTTTAAGTTGAATAAGCAGAATTTGAGTATTGCATTGATCGACCTTATTGCCCCCTACACCCCAGGACATGAGTTTTCTCTCCGTAGCATATGATTGTTTTCCATAATTCTTAGAGGTTGGAGAAGCCTCGATATGTATACATATAAATTCATATATATATATATACACAGTAATGTATACATATATATATATGTGTATGTATATGTACATGTGTGTGTGTTGATGTTTGAGTATGAAATTGTATGTTTTGTTTGTTTTTTTCCCTGCTCGCTTAGTGATGAGACCGGAGATTCAAACTGAGTCCAAAGTCAGATTTGAAGGAGGCACCTCCGCAAGAGTCAATGGCGAATGGAGGCCTCCGAGACAGCAGAGCGCTTCCAAGAAAGCGTCAAGTGCAACGAAGACACTACAGTAATACGTAGTTTTAGTCTATTCTTGCCTGTTTAGAGAGTGTTTATGTGGCCCAGGCTAGTAAGATCATATTCTAGACTCATGTGTGTTTCAACCAGGCCTTCTGAGGCTTTGACCTTGTTTCTGAATGTTGCTCAAACGTGCCAGTACACGGATAATCCAAGCACAAAACAGAACATCACCGTGGCCAACACCGGGAAAGGTGCTGATGAGGGTGGCAAGAAACTCAGATGAACGCCTGATTATTGTCCACTTCCTGGCATTTGTTCGTGATGAAAAAACGTATAACTCCAAGTCGGTTTGCAATGCTTCAAAACGAGCATATGTTGGTTAGGCTCTTGATGAGTGCTGCAATCAATCATGCAGTGTGTTGCAGATGCAAGTGACAGGGCCAGGTCCAGCACACACACACAGAGATATAACTCAAAGTTCTACAGCCGTATCGGTAGAACTTGCTCAAAGCATCAAATCACATTGAAGATTTGAAGCTTAGCTAAGCACCAAATTCTTTCAAAATATTCTCCAAATTCTTCAAATCATCAAAACTACGAGGCAGCGGCGGTTGGTTGTACTCGCGGCATGTGAAACGCGCCGAACCACAATGGTATGTCAAGATATGCCAAGCAAATAGATGCGTGAACGAAGGGAATAGACCAGATCTGACCAGACGCAAACGCACATCTGAAATCGCATAGATAGAAACGAGTAGACTGCTTACAGAGATTGTGAACCGAGCTGTGGAATCAAATCCATGGACATTTGGTGACAGCAATTAGGATTATTTTTGATCAGCTTTGGTGTGTTGGAGGGGACATATAGAGTATTCATGTTGGATAGACTTGGATCATACAATTCTCATGGAACAAGGCTAGTGCCAGTGCGGATGCCAGGCTATCGACTATACTCTCACCCTTCCTAACAGTGGAAGTCTGAGTGGCGGCACTGCAGCTTCACAGTGCTTTGAGTCTGTAAACATGTGATCACAGTATTGATCAGGTCAATCTCAGGTCAATCTCAGGTCAATCACAGGTTAATTGACTTCAAACGAATGCTTACCATATCTTACCATCACCAAGGACGGGGACAAGCGTGAAATCCATGCAGAGCCGCGCCCTCAAGCAAACACAATGCAAACACAAGGCAAAACATCCAACATCTTGGGATCCTATATAAAGGTAATCGCAGTGGTACGGAATGGTACGGACTTGGTTGGCATTGACTGACTTCTACTGACTGATCCTACTGACCCCTTGATGTGCTTCGAAAGTGATAATATCTGAATCATTGTGATGTGTTTGCTTCAATGGGAGAGTTCATGCGATATGACAAAATCAGAAATTGTCCCGGCAAGAGACCCCAAACAGTGTGGCGGGGATGGGGGGATAATGTATGATAATGTTGTTGTTGTTGATGATGACGGTGATGACGGTGATGATGGTGATGATGATGATGATGACGATGTTGGGGACGATGATGTTGAGGATGATGAGGATGATGTGGATGATGATGATGATGGGGATGATGTGGATGATAATGATGATGACGATGATGATGATGATGATGTTGATGATGGTGATGATGATGACGATGATGATGATAATGATGATGTTGATGATGGTGATGATGATGATGATGACGATGATGATGATGATGATGGTGATGAGGATGATGATGATGATGATGTGGAGGATGATGATGAGGATGACAATGCGGAAGAGAAAGTGAAGGATGATAAGGTGGAGGATGGTGATGCTGAGAAGGATGATGATGAGGATGAGGATGATGATGGTGATGATGATGATGATGGTGATGATGATGTGGAGGATGATGATGAGGATGACAATGCAGAAGAGAAAGTGAAGGATGATAAGGTGGAGGATGGTGATGCTGAGAAGGATGATGATGAGGATGATGATGGTGAGGATGAAAATGTTGAGAAGGGGGAAGATGATGATGTTGAGGATGGTAATGTTGCGGAAGATGATGAAAAGGATGAAAATGTTACGGAAGAAAGGGTGGCGGAGGATGATGTTGCCGAAGATGAGGTGGAGGATGATGAAGTTGAGGATGATGATGCGAAGGGGGAGGAAGATGATGATGCTGAGAATGATGATGTTGAGGAGGAGGAAGATGATGATGTGGGGGATGGTGATGTTGAGGAGGAGGACTGATCCCAAGACCTAGGACCACGCTTTGTGCGAGCCCCCGCAGTGGAAATGCACGTCAAGATGTTTAGACGGAAATTTACAGGAAAAATGCCGCGCCCCAGATTGAACCCAGAACGCAGACAGACACTTTGCGCGAGCCTGCACAGTCGAAATGCAGTTCAAAATTTCACAACAGCCACTTTATACGGAAATTTACAGGAAACATGCCGCGCCCCAGAGTGAGCACCCTGATCAAGCACCGGCCTTTACACCTACCGTAGGAACCCCTCAGTGTGGACACGCTGTTTGGGGAATAAACAAACTACAATTATGAAAAATGTACATTCATACATGCAACTTCTTGAACTTTTCGATTTCTGCTTGTCAAGAGTTGACGCAATCTGCTGCGTGATCCCTTTCCGAGCGCACAAGCCGGCTCCGTCCCGAGGAGTTACGTTGAAGAACATTTGGACATTCAACCTGCTGCGTGATTGCGTAGACACAAGTGGAACTAGCTGCCGGCGTTCTCGGATGCACCTACAGATTTCGGCAGATCCACTGTAGGTTGGTCCTCCAACATGCTAATCTGGTTGCAACTGGCCTAACGGTGCCGATTCATTCCGTGTGTAGAATTATGATCACTTCACACCAAGTTTTTACCTATCAGTGGATTCTGTGCCACGGCAAATATGAGGTTTTCCATCCGCAGTTTGTGACGTGGAAAGCAGGTTTCACCAGATGCCAATACTTTCTGAAACGAAGAAGCATCAACGTGCATGTCAATCACGAGATTTTGAAAATGTTGGAACTGCCGTGGCTCGCAATCCATCAGTTCTTGCACATGTGATCTTGCATGTATGTGTATAGTTGCGTGTATTTTCGTAAGTATACAGTATACATGGGTAGATTGATGTTGCTTGATAGCTGCTTCTCCTTGAGGACATCAGAAAAGTTTTTACCTATCAGTGGATTCTGTGCCACGGCAAATATGAGGTTTTCCATCCGCAGTTTGTGACGTGGAAAGCAGGTTTCACCAGATGCCAATACTTTCTGAAACGAAGAAGCATCAACGTGCATGTCAATCACGAGATTTTGAAAATGTTGGAACTGCCGTGGCTCGCAATCCATCAGTTCTTGCACATGTGATCTTGCATGTATGTGTATAGTTGCGTGTATTTTCGTAAGTATACAGTATACATGGGTAGATTGATGTTGCTTGATAGCTGCTTCTCCTTGAGGACATCAGAAATCCATCCGTCCGTCCGGATGGTTTCTTTGATTCTTGGGATGTGCGGACATGGTTTGCATTGAGCCTCAGAGAAAACCCTTGAAACAAAACACCAAGAAGTCAACGAGGCAGTTTTAGGGTGTTTTAGTTTGAACTTGCAGGTGCTTCCTTGACTCAGGTTGTTGGCTTTCTGTTCTTGGATGCATGGATCTCGAACTTGCTGCTGAAGGAATTCCAGATACTTTCAGATACTTCTAGCATCTTCCAGCAATGGCACCGAATCTGATTTTCTTTGTTTTTTCAGATTTTTCAGGATGTTTCATGCCATTCTGATTTGCTTTGCGATTCGTAGGAGTTCTCTGGCGTCACTAGAGGAGTGGCCAAAGCAGCTGGAGTGGCTATAGTGTGCGACACCTATGCATGAACAAATGCAAACACTTTGCATTTGTTATCATAGTCATAGTCATACCCATGGTTGATGTCAGGTGTTTAGACAATTTGACTTGTGCTAAGCTCTTTTTCTCGATGCGTATAGCTCAGAGAGGGCAGAACTCTATCTCTCAAGACATCCAATACGCGCGTACTATTGATATTTGTTTATCAAATTGCATCAGACCATGGGTTTGCTTTCGCGTCGAACCTTGCTGTGAAACCTTGTTTCTTGCGCTAACGTCAGCCCTTTCCATGCCACCATCAGGAGCAGAATGTCGGTGGAATTAATTTTCAGTGTTTTGCCTGCAGTCTTTGGCTTGAAGCATAGTGAATACGAATGGAGATGGAGTTCATTTTTCATTTCATTTCGATGCCTGAAAGGGGTCTAGCTCTTGTGGCCTCGCAGTTCTTGAATTGGATACAAGTTCAAAACCACTTCAACAGCACCTGAATTCTACCTGAAATCTTCAAAGTGGTCGTATTTGCTCGAGCAGTAGGGATGCCATGTCTCGCCCGTGCTTTCTACAGCAGTCATCTCCGGCCGGTCGGAAGTGGCAAGATGTGCTGCAAGATCTTCAGCCATGCGCGGACAAGGTTTGCAAATGTTGGCAACGTCGCGGGACCTTTACCATAATTGAATAGAGGGTGAAAAATGAACACGACTGTACAATGTTGTATAATGTGCACATGAGATAGTAAAATGACAATGATAGATGATAGATGGCACACCACTACACACTCCCGTCATTGGATGATCTATATAGTGCTCGCAGAATAATGCCGAATATATTTCCACATGAGTTTCTGCTCAAAGTCTCCATTGGCACTGTTCAAACTTTTGGATGCAGGAAAATAGCTCAACAGGAACTCCACAAGACATACCATGCCCCGGGCACAGGCTACCATGCAGACGGTATAAAATATTGTGTAGGCCGTTGGCGTAGGCTTGTTTTAGCCTACAGGCGTAGGCTCTGCGTAGACACCCACTTACAACAGTTGGATTCCATTCATGGAAATCATCATGCCGCAAAAGAAAACATGCAGGCATATTATTGGAATCATAGCTGCGGATGCTGCGTTGACGCATCTACACCGCATAGGGTCCCGGAGGCACCCCTTGGAAAGCTTACTCCTAGGTTCAACGTAGGCATGTGCGTTGGTTACTGTATATGCTACTGGTCACCCAAAGACAGGGATACAAACCGCTACCCCACCCATTTTACCAGGTCAGTGCCTCGCTTAGGCCTACGTTTTGGCTCGCTTAGGACTACGTCCGAGATACATGCCTACAGTATCAATAGAAAGGTTTCAACAAGATAAACCCTAAAGGTGTGTAACCAATAAAATTGAATGTGTTTCATGTCGTGGCTCTTACCTCCAGTAGTTCCCACTGTCCCCTGTCCCCGGTCTCCTGTCCCCCCCTAAAGATTAACCCTAAAGGTGTGTATCCAATGGAGTCCAATGTGTTTGACGTCGTGTCTGTTACCTCTAGTAGTTCCCACTGTCCCCTGTCCCTGGTCCCCTGTCCCCCCCTAAAGAGTAACCCTAAAGGTGTGCATTTAATGGAGTTAACCCTAAAGGTTGAACTCCACATCCCTGAGTGTCGTCCTAAGTGATCCAAAAAAGTCGTCCTAAGTGATCCTTTGACCGGCATGTCTGCCATTTGGATTTCCTTTCATTGCTAAGCTTTGTACCTTTAGGATCTAAAGCGGTTGGCAAGTCTTTTGGTTTCCATTTTATTTTCGAGCTTGGATGTCCTGTTCGACCCGCTCGGCCACATTGATACTTCTTGCATCTTCTTGCGACATAGATTGCTGTCGTGCACATGTTCTGGAATTGACCTTTAAGGGCGTGATCTAATGAGTGCCAGTACAGTTGAGCAGCGAACAAACACTTTCTCATCATACTGGAAAAATGATAATTGCCAAGCCTTTCAAGCAGATTCGCAGATATATAAACTTGTGACATGAACAGACCGCATGCACTGCCAAGGCAGGATTTCTAGCTGGCGACTGGGGCAACTGTTTGGTGGAGGCCACGGGACCCTCGCTGTCCTGTCATAGACAAACCGTGCTCAAACAGCAGCATGAATTGGTCATAATTGACGTATATTGACGTATGTTATTGACGTATATTATATAGATCAATCGGACCATGAATCAACATGCATCAGCATGAATCAACATGAATCAACTATATATGTTGGCAGTTGCACTTCTTAAAGACAGTGGCTGCAGTGGCTGTGAATTTCCCATGTCGACTGAGGCCACTGAGCAAGAACACACCAAAGGCAATTATGGGCAAGCTGGGCAGGTCTTCAGCTCAACTCGAACCACTGACAGTCTGCACCTTCCTCCACTTTCTTACTGCTATCTTTACAGTGCCGGTTTTGGAACTGTGAAGGATTTCCTTTTGTTGGTGGTGGAAGCATGTGGAAGTTATTGGTCAAAGGATGTTCTTGCAAAGTCTGTAGTCAAAGACCTACGAAACCGTAGGTCATTGACTTCCTCACAAGCCGTGGCCATCGTGGGTATGAGAAAGCCGCTGACAAATTGGAAAGGTCACCTGACTTGTCCATTTTTGATCAGGTTTGTATATATGTATATATATGTATATATATGTACTGTGTGTATATATGTATATACATTGCATAGCTTCCCGTCTACTCAACATCCAGCCTACCAGCTGTGGGCAGCGTTTTCTGTACATATTAGACATATACATATATAGTCATATACAATAGCTACAATTATATTCATATAGAATAGTTATATAACAGTTAATATGTAGTTAATATATAGTCAAAATATCCCTACCCTCTTAAAAATGGAATTGAGGAGGGGGAGTCGTACTGAAATTTCATTTTAAAATTCCATTTTTGCAATCATGCTTTCTCAATGATCAATATTCCTCATCATTCCATGTCTTTGGCAAGCAGATGAAAATTAAATACTTGCGCTTAGCTCCGGAGGAGCTAAGCACATGTCAGACTGAAGCAGCACATATGTAGGGATGGCATCCGCCGCCGTCATCATACTTGCGCTTAGCTCCTCCGGAGCTAAGCGCAAGTATTTTCTAACCAGTGCCCAAGGATTGTTGAGAAATGTTACTTTACAATTCCATTTGAGGGGTTGGATCACTATCCCAGGGTTTCCAAGCAAAAAAAATGGACTTCGACAGCTTGGTTTTGTCCCCCCCGCCCTCCCCCTCTATAGGGGTAGGGATGTTAAAATATGCAGATGCAACTCTCCTGTGCAGGGAGACCAGTGAAGGGAAATACTCAAAGGATGGCTTGTGCCATTGTGCTTACCATTCGCATCCATGCGCTTCTTCATCCTTGCTCACACTGGTGTTTGAGTTTCAAAGTTGTAGAATGGACCCATCTGTATTGTTTTGCAATCTTTGCATGTTTTGTCATTGTTTACATTACATTGTACAATTACATATTACATTCTGCTTTCGACTTGTAATGACTTTTGGGGTGATTTGGCAGTGGAAGAATGGGAGGGAGGACTAGGCAGCAAAGCCCGGGCCCGATGTGGAAGGTTAACCCACAGAGCTATGAGAACTGGTGGTATTCATCGTCAACCACATTCGGACTTGGATCCGCAGGAGCATTTCAGTCCTCATTTGGATCTTTTCTGATGCGACTGCATCGTCTTTTTTCAATTCTTTCCATGCATCACTTTATTGCAATGTTGTGCATCGGATGGATTTCATGTAGGGATTCTGCACAGATTCCTAGGGATGTGTAGGGTGGTGCATCTGGCGCCATGTCTCATTGGCGCAGACTTGCGCTCTGTGAAGGCGTGGGCTCCAAAGAGAGAGGCCCAAGAGGCGGAATTCAGTTGCACCAATTGCCATTCATCCAGGATGCAGTTTAATAAAGTTTAATACATCAAGTATTCTCATGTTATTCTCATATTCGAAGGAAGTTTGGAAGTCAAACTTCCGACAATAGGGACAGATGGAAAAGCAGAGGTGGGAAGAGTCAGAGAAGAGAAGAGAAGAGAAAAGAAGAATGAAGATCAGAGAAGAGAAAGAGTCAGAAGAAAGAAGATGTAGGTGCTCGAAAAGGTAGCAAAGTCGCGAAACACTGTGTTTTTCCAATGATTTGTGGCTCCGGAGGGTCCAAAAATTGGATCGCTAAAGCAGCGGGTGCGGAGCCATCTGGGGAGATGAGAGATGAAAAATTGCACGCCGTTGTGGCGCGAAGCACATTTCGAAGTCAAAAGTGTAAAAAACTTGACGGTCTCAGACCACTTTTGGAAGTTGAGATGACGAAGAAGTGCACACCGTTGTGGCGAGAAGCACATGTCGAAGTCAACATTCACAAAGCACCTCACGTTCGGAGCACTTTTCGAAGTTGAGATGTGAAAAAAGTGCATGCATGCCGTTGTGGCGCGAAGCACATTATCAAGTCAAAATGTACGAAGCACACCAGGTTCGGAGCAATTTTGGAAGTTGAGATGTCGAACAAGTGCACGCCGTTGTGGCGCAAAGCACATGTCCAAGTCAAAATGTTAAAGGCACCACATGCTCGAACCACTTTTGAACGTTCAGATGTCGTTTCGCGTGGCAGGCGCAAGGGATTGTGCACATTGTCAAAAGTGAGCAAAACGTGGGGGTTTCGTCGCATGCCCAAAAACGATGGCAGGAGTGGGTTGAAGAGGATCTGCAAAGATGCATTTTCCCCGGCAGGCGCAGTACAAGAGAGATGTTCATCAGAGATGTTAGGAGGTCCGGGCGCTGATTTCCTGAGAGAGGTTGCATTTTGGACCATCAGATCTTCAGGTTGACTAAGATGATTTTGCGTGACAGGTGCAGCACTTCGTATGACCTGGCCTCACTTTATCGTGGCAGGCGCGGCGCTTTACACAGATGGCGTGGAAAAAATCGCAAAACGCATTGGTACGAGGCAGTCAGCTCTGCACTTTTTGAATGAAGTCTTGCAGAATTCCGTCGCTTTGGACGTTGTCAACTTTGGATTTCTGAGGAAGTCTCACAAGTCTCGCAGGATTGCTTCGATTTTGAGGTTGTCAAATCCAAAAATTGAGGAAGCCTCGCAGAATTGCTGCGTTTTCAAGCTTGCAGATAGACAGATAGATAGATAGATAGACAACTCCAACTACAACTACCACTACACTACACTACAGCTGCAACTACAACTACAAATGTACTACGCTACATCACACTACGCTCATCACACTACACTACACTTATTGCATCTAATTACACTACACTACAATAATGACATTGCAAGTGCAACTACAACTACTACTACCACAGCTACAACTACAATTGCAACTACACTACATTACACTACACTACACTACTTACACTGCAGCACACTACAACTACAACTACAAATGCAACTACAATTACACCACATTACACAACACTACGCTACACTAATTACATTACACTGCATTACATTACATTTCACTACAAGTACAACTACAACTGCAACTACAACTACCACTACGTTACACTACGCTACACTGCAACTACAATTACAACTACCACTACAACTACAACTGGGCTACACCGCACTATGTACATCCAGCAGTTGTGGTGAGGTGACCACTGCAACCATTGCAACCACTCCAAAAAACACAACTCCAACCACCTTTCGGTCCAGCAGTGGATTCGCTCTGCCATCCGTGATTCACAACAATTCACCTCTCCTATAGATTTCCTATTTTTGAAACTTCCGCCGCCGCCTTGTGCGGAACTACTGGAATTGTTCTCAATATGGCATTCATGATCATGTGTTTTCATGTGGTATTATGGTAATCATGTCAAGATGGGGAAGTTTGGATCGCCAATTGTGTTCTTATCATGTTCTTATCATATTTATGTATGCGTGCAGGCAGGAGGGCCAGAACCAAGGCCTGGAAAATCCGTTTTTCCCGAGAGCGTCTGAGCGCAGGGTTCTTCCAATAGTGGGGGTCTGTATCTCATCTTCTCATCTTCACATCTTCTCATCTTCACACCTTCTCATCTTCACACCTTCTGTCACACCTTCTCATCTTCACATCTTCTCATCTTCACATCTTCTCATCTTCACACCTTCTCATCTTCACACCTTCTGTCACACCTTCTCATCTTCACATCTTCTCATCTTCACACCTTCTCATCTTCACATCTTCTCATCTTCACATCTTCTCATCTTCAGATCTTCTCTCACATCTGCTCATCTTCACATCTGCTCATCTTCACATCTGCTCATCTTCACATCTGATCATCTTCACATCTTCTCTCACATCTGCTCATCTTCACATCCGTTCATCTTCAGATCTTCTCTCACATCTGCTCATCTTCACATCTGCTCATCTTCACATCTGCTCATCTTCACATCATCTCTCACATCTGCTCATCTTCACATCTCCTCTCACATCTGCTCATCTTCACATTTTCTCTCACATCTGCTCCTCTTCACACCTTCTCTCACACCTTCTCATCTTCACATCTTCTCTCCTTTCTCTCTCCCTTTTCTCTCTCTCGCCTTCTTTATCTTTCTCTCTTTAGGCCGAGGGTGGTGCCGGCGGGGAGTCACGAAACGTGAGCCCTTTCGCACGAAATGAGGGTCGATCGGCAAAAACTGAGGAAAAATTGCGATTTTACTTGTGCCGGAGGAACCCTTTCGCACGAAATGAGGGTCGATCGGCAAAAACTTAGGAAAAAATGCGATTTGACTTGTCCCGGAGCAACCCTTTCGCACGAAATGAGGGTCGATCGCCAAAAACTGAGGAAAAAATTGCGATTTTACGTGTGCCGGAGCAACCTTTTCGCACGAAATGAGGGTCGATCGCCAAAAACTGAGGAAAAATTGCGATTTGACTTGTCCCGGAGCAACCCTTTCGCACGAAATGAGGGTCGATCGCCAAAAACTGAGGAAAATTTGCGATTTTACGTGTGCCGGAGCAACCCTTTCGCACGAAATGAGGGTCGATCTTTAAAAACTGAGGAAAAATTGCGACTTGTCCTGGAGCAACCCTTTCGCACGAAATGAGGGTCGATCGCCAAAAACGAGGAAAAATTGCGATTTTACGTGTGCCGGAGCAACCCTTTCGCACGAAATGAGGGTCGATCGGCAAAAACTGAGGAAAAATTGCGATTTTACTTGTGCCGGAGCAACCCTTTCGCACGAAATGAGGGTCGATCGCCAAAAACTGCGGAAAAATTGCGATTTTGTGTGTGTGTAAAAGTGTTTGTGTGTAAAAGCTTCTGTGCGTAAAAGCTTCTGTGTGTAAAGGCGTCTGTGTGTAAAAGCGTCTGTGTGTAGAAGCGTCTGTGTGTAAAAGCGTCTGTGTGTAAAAAGTGTTTCTGTGTAAAAGCGTCTGTGTGTAAAAGCGTCTGGGTATAAGAGTCTCTGTGTATAAGAGTCTCTGTGTGTAAAAGTGTTTGTGTGCAAAAGTGATTGTGTGTAAAAGCTTCTGTGTGTAAAAGCTTCTGTGTGTAAAAGCGTCTGTGTGTAAAAGCGTCTGTGTGTAAAAGCGTCTGTGTGTAAAAGCGTCTGTGTGTAAAAAGTGTTTCTGTGTAAAAGCGTCTGTGTGTAAAAGCGTCTGGGTATAAGAGTCTCTGTGTATAAGAGTCTCTGTGTGTAAAAGTGTTTGTGTGCAAAAGTGATTGTGTGTAAAAGCTTCTGTGTGTAAAAGCGTGTGTAAAAGCGTCTGTGTGTAAAAGCGTCTGTGTGTAAAAGTGTCTGTGTGTAAAAGGTCTGTGTGTAAAAGCTCTGTGTGTAAAAGCGTCTGTGTGTAAAAGCGTCTGTGTGTAAAAGCGTCTGTGTGTAAAAGCGTCTGTGTGTAAAAGCGTCTGTGTGTAAAAGCGTCTGTGTGTAAAAGCGTCTGTGTGTAAAAGTGTTTGTGTGTAAAAGCCTCTGTGTGTAAAAGCGTCTGTGTGTAAAAGCGTCTGTGTGTAAAAGCGTCTGTGTGTAAAAGCGTCTGTGTGTAAAAGTCTGTGTGTAAAAGCGTCTGTGTGTAAAAGTGTCTGTGTGTAAAAGCGTGTAAAAGCGTCTGTGTGTAAAAGCGTCTGTGTGTAAAAGCGTCTGTGTGTAAAAGCGTCTGTGTGTAAAAGTGTCTGTTTGTCAAAACTTCTGTGTGTAAAAGTCTTTGTGTGTAAATGTGTTTGTGTGTAAAAGTGAATCTGTGTAAATAAAGCGTCTCTGTGTAAAATGGTGTGAGTGCAGAAGGGTTTTTGTGTAAAAAATGTGTTTCTGTGTGACAGCGGCAATGTGTGTGTAAAAGCGGCTTTGTTTACAAGTTTGGCATGTTTGTTTTCCGGTCACCCCTGTCATGTTTAGGTCTTGCTGACAAGTTTTAAGCAATCTTGACTTGTTTGCTTGGCATGTTTCGTCGGCATGCTTAATTTTACCTCCAAAGTGATATAAATGGATTCATGAGGTTACATTGTGATTCGGTAATCGTGGGGTTGTGGAGTTTGTGGGTGACACTTTAGCATCACATTTCTTTGCTGAGGTTGGCATGAACATTTTTTGTTTGTCACCCGAACTGTCCGAGCAGATATGACTGTCAGCATTTCCAGAGCTTCTTTTCGTGGCTGTGCCGCTTGTCCTCGGAGATTTTGGAGGCCTGCGTGAAAATCAAGAAAGCTGCCAATTCCTTTTGCGCATATAGTTGTGCCGGGACATCACTGCATGTGATCTGTCGCAGTCATTAGTCATAGTCCGTGAATGCTTTGCAGATCCGCATGGTTGGTCTATGTAGCTAGGTTTGCATCGAGTCAGGGCCAAGGGATGGGATGGATTACATGGATAGGCTTTTACCACAAAGAGACAAATCGATATATTATATATTGATATAGAAATAGAGATATGAGATAGACATGGATGTATGAGTGTTAATACATGAGATGGATGTATGAGTGTTAAGATAAGAGTTTCAATTCAAGTCACAGTCAGGAGGCAGGACCCTTAACCCAAAAAGAACATGGAAAGGAGCGCAAGGGCCATCCCATTATATCCCAGAAACGTTCGCCGCCTGCCAGGTCCGCCCGTTTATCCTTTTTTTGGGGAGATGGCAAACCACCTTGGTTGGGGGACCCCAAAGCACACAGCCCTCATGACATGTTTATACATGTTGGTTTCGAGTCACGTCATTTCCTTTTTTTGTTCCGGTTCACATGGAAATGGGACTTCGCCACACCACCCCATCGACACATGCACGCACGATCTAAGGTATACGTGTCCAGGCTCTTCCTCAGGTCTTATGACTTTCAATGGAAGTGATGGTGTACCATGGCCTTGCCATCAGCCATGGTACATCTATTGTCACTGACTTCCCAATACATGGTACAAACTTCACCCCTCCGTCGAATTGCTGAGGTGGACACGACAACAATGACTTCACTGTGACTGCGTAAACATGGGCCGGCCTGTGTGTGAAAGCGTCTGTGTCTAAAAGCGTCTGTATGTAAAAGTGATTGTGTGTAAAAGCGCTTATGTGTAAAACACTTTGTGTGTAAAAGTATTTGTATGTAAAAGTGTTTCTGTGTAAAAGTGGCAGCGTGTCAAAGCGCCCATGTGTAAAAGCTTCTGTGTGACTGTGTGTAACAGCGTCTGTGTGTAAAAGCGTCTGGGTATAAGAGTCTCTGTGTATAAGAGTCTCTGTGTGTAAAAGTGTTTGTGTGTAAAAGTGTTTGTGTGTAAAAGCTCCTGTGTGTAAAAGGTTCTTTGTTAAAAGTGTCTGTGTGTCAAAGTGTCAGTGTGTAAAAATGTCTGTGTGTAAAAGCATCTGTGTAAAAGCGTATGTGTGTAAAAGCTTCTGTCTGTAAAAGCTTCTGTGGGTAAAAGCTTTGTGTGTAAAAGTGTCTGTGTAAAAGCATCTGTGTGAGAAAGTGTCTGTCTGTAAAAGCCTTTGTGTGTGAAAGCTTCTGTGTGTAAAAACTTCTGTGTGTAAAAGCTTCTGTGTGTAAAAGTTTTTGTGTGTAAAAGCGTCTGTGTGTAAAAACTTCTGTGTGTAAAAGTGTTTGCGATGCAAACTATTGTCTTGCACTTTGCTATTTTGTCTTGATAATCCTCTTCTCGACTGCCTATAACACATCTTTAATATATTGTTTGTAATATGGTGTCTCCATACTAACAAGAGAAGACCCTGCTCCTCTACGCTCTCGGGCCATCCGTCGTCTAGTTTTTTCAGCGGCTTTGTGTTACTGTACTTTGTATGATGGTACAGTAAGGATGGTGTAGTGACAATGTAGTGTTTTGTGTCCCCTGGAATTTTGATTTGGAAGATGTTGGAATTGAAAAAACAGTTCAGTTGGAGTGTTTCTGGTGCCATGACTGGCCAATGCCAAAGGGCAGTAAGTCAATCTTCGAGCTCTAGAAGTTCCAGCTCATCTGACTCGAGTGGCTCTGGAAGTTCAGGCAAGACGATGAAGTTGGCAATGCAAATTGGACTTCGTCATGCACGTATAGCCAAACTCGGCAGTGCCCAAACCATACCCGACCCAACCGCAAAATTAGAGCGAGATGCACAGAATTTGCAACGGCAGCAGGTGGGCGCAAGCTTGATCCGGAAACGAAAGCGCTATGTCGTTCTGCGCCAGATCACGCAAGGACATTGCCACGGACCAGATGAATGCATGTCAACAGCAAACTGAGCAAACTTAGCAAACTGGAAAAGAACGAGCATAGTCAGTATAGCCCAGTGTAGCAGTATAACTTCATTGCTTGGCCATTGTTTGGCCATTGTTTGGCCATTGCTTGGTTCCATTTGGTTCTGGTTGATCTGAGTTGATATTCACAACGCTTCGCGTGAAAGCGCTGCCGGATCCAACAGAGGGAGTGGAACGTCAGAATGATCCCAGTGCTTGCAGAGCTGTGGAAGATTGTGGAAGTAGAATGAGTAGATCAACGGGGATGATCCGCAATAGGTGAGAATGTTGGAGCCATTAAATTTTTGAAAATTTGTGGAATTATGAGCTACTTTACATTATGAAACTCGTTTGTGTGGAGTAGTCAAGTATAGTTAAGTAGTACAGTAGGTATTTCAGAGATTTTCAGAGCGTGGAACAAACTTCAAAAACGAAAGATGGCGAGCGGAGAAAAGTCAAGTAACGTGTGAGTATCGCGCAGGGCGGTCCAAGAATGCAGCACATGTCATGCGACTATATGACATCATTATATATATATACATACGCACAGCCGTGGTCACAAAATAATCTAACACAGCACAACTCCTGAGCGCGGAATAGCCGGAAAAAAAACACTGTTTACGGTTCAGTTTCATTTTGTTTTGAAACAAACGCCAGTAAAGTTGTGCCCCCCCAAAAAAACAACTAGAGCATGGGGTATTGCGATGCTCTCTGTAGCCGAATTTCTGCAGCCCAACCTTCCAAACAAGTCGTTTGCAGATGCTTGCAGAGTTTTTCGAATTTCTGTACCAACAATTCTGGCAATAATCATTGTCAATTTGCAAAAAAAAACTGTAAATACACGACATGTAAATACAGAGTGTTTGTTTATCACAGAAACAAAACATAGTACGAAGCTTCTCAAACGTTAGAGCAAATCTGATGCCAGTCGCGGTCCAACTTAGCTTTTAATTTCCAAGCCCACTAGAACGGAAAAAAAACAATGAACTCTTAGTGCTAAGGTGACTTGCGTTTTTTTTAACGTTAACCCGCCGAATCAAACTCGTGCTTACACCTGAGGCTTAGTACGCAAGCTTGTGACTCTGGCTGATTCTCCTGCATCACAACACGCCTTCACTCCTGTGGTGGCGAATTTCGTGACTTCCAACATCTTCTAACATCTTCTAACATCTTCTAACCGCCTTTACACACCTTCTGCAAACTCTTGGATGTCCCTTTCGAGTGCATTGATGTTGTGCCAGGATTGGGAGTAGCCTGGAGCAGTGCGTCCAAGATCTTCCTATGGATGTCATTGTGGAATTCACACAGCGAGGCTTGAAACATCTTGAAACCCTTTCTGCACTTTCGCAACCAGCAAGACATTGAGACTACAGCAATATTCACGGACCGGCTTGCGCTTTATGACAATAGAACGCAGAAAAAGCATGAAACAGCATGAAACAGCATGAAAGAGTCCCCCAGGTGAGAGAACGCCTTTGATTTAAGTGATTTTACCGGCTTTCATAGGAGTTGCCGTGATTTGGGCACATCCAATATAGATGAAAACGCTCTGAATTTGCAAAGTGAGGCACTTCGGTGGCATCTGCCAAGAGACTAAAGAGCAGCTTTCACTCGACGTGGTTGGTGGAAGTTTCGCCTGGCATGATTCAGGACGATCAAGTGCATGCGCTGTATTAGGGCAGAGCGATTGTATTCAGCATGTCACATGTCGCTGCTTTGCACTGCTGATTTTTGCCTGTTTGTTTGCGGGTCAATTTCTTTCTTTTACCGCGTTTTGAGGATGGCAAGTCCTATGACAGGGTCATTATACAAATCCTTGGATCGCAGGCATCATTTTTGATTGGACGACTGACAGAAGAGCGACAGAATGAGCGAAAGCTGATAGAAATGAAGTATCCACGCTAAGCATTGTGGATTGTTCATGATTGATCATGATTATTCATTTTGCAGGTTGGGGACCAGCCTCTAAGTTTGCACATTTCGGGCAACCAGATTGTGAAGGCAATGCACCTTGCTCGCCGGGCAGGCACTTCCATCCCAAGATTGGAGTCAATCCAAAGGAATTCATCTGATTGCACAAAAGCTCTCAACAGATTAATTTGAGAAACGACGCTTCACTTGCAATCGCTGGATGGTACAATCCTACTCTTCACCGCTTTGTAATTAGGTAGGATTTGTAAACAAAAGCTTTGGGATGGTTTATGTAGCTGTGCCGAAAGTTTAAAGAGGCTTGTCCCACTGCCTAGCCAAAGTCAGCCAAAGTGTTGAATTTACAGCCCAGTTTATTGTTGCGTCTGAGGCGTTCGGGTGCCGGATGTCCTTTTCACTGGTTCATGCGGAACTCAGTTGGGCACGCTGGACTTCATTGTACAAGAGTACATCCTGACTCAGACTGTTGAGGCATGCCTGTCAGACAAACTTCAGACAGTTGAAGTTCTTTGGCCAACATGAAACTTAATGAAACTTGAAGAATCTTCACGACAAAGTCGACAAAGTCATGAAATGCGTCAAGTCGGTCACAGTATGCAAACATCTGCAGTCTCGGTCAACAGTGCAGGGTAACGGAGGGTTTATTTTTCGAAAAGATAGGACATGTAGAGACCATTGTGACTTAGTAGTGGACTCTGGACATCTCTGGACATCGACTCTGTGGAGGACGTGGTGAAAGCTCCTCGAGAGGAGTGGCACCGCATCGAAGGAGAGGTGACCACAAAATTGAAGGCCCAGCGCATTGGCCGGGAAGATGCAGCGCCAGTGTAACTTGACGCGCACGGTGATGCCCAGTGCACGGTGATGCCCAGTGCACGGTGATGCCCAGTGCACGGTGATGCCCAGACAGCTTTGGCATGTTGAATCAAGATCTCCGTCTATCTTGCTTCTGATTTCTTATAAATCCTTATCGAAGGAAGTTTAGAAGTCAAACTTCCGACAATATGGACAGATGAAAAGCAGAGCAGGGCAGAGGCAGAGAGAAGAGAAAGATTAGAAGAGAGAAGATCAGAGAAGAGAAAGAATCAGAAGAAAGAAGATGCAGATGTGCGAAAAGGTAGGAAAAGTCGCGAAACACTCTGTTTTTTCGATGTTTTGTGGCTCCGGAGGGTCGAAAGGTCAGCTCGCTAAAGCGGCGGGTGTGGAGCCAGCTGGCCAGATGAGAAATGAAAAGTTGCACGCCGTTGTGGCGCGAAGCACAGTTCGACGTCAAAATGTACAAAGCACACCATTCTCGGAGCACTTTTGGAAGTTGAGATGTCAAAAAAAATGCACGCCATTGTGGCGCGAAGCACATTTCGAAGTCAAAATGTACAAAGCACAGCATTCTCGGACCACTTTTGGAAGTTGCGATGTCGAAAAAGTGCACGCCGTTGTGGCGCGAAGCACATTTCGAAGTCAAAATGTGCAAAACACACCATTGTCGGACCACTTTTGGAAGTTGAGATGTCAAAAAAGTGCACGCCGTTGTGGCGCGAAGCAAATTTCGAAGTGAAAATGTACAAAACACTACACGTCCGCGCCACTTTTGGAGGTTCAGATGTCGTTTTGCGTGGCAGGCGCAAGGGATTGTGCACATTGTCAAAAGTGAGCAAAACGTGAGGGTTTCGTCGCATGCCCAAAAACGATGGCAGGCGTGGGGCATTGGAAGAGGATCTTCAAAGATGCATGTCGCGTGGCAGGTGCAGTACAAAAGACATGTTCATCAGAGATGTTCGGAGGTCAGGGCGCTCATTTCCTGAGAGGGGTTGCATTTTGGAGTATCAGATCTTCAGGTTTGCTGAGATGATTTTGCTTGACAGGTGCAGCACTTCGTATGACCTGGCATCAATTTTTCGTGGCAGGCGCAGTGCTTTACACAGGAGGAGTGGAAAAATCGCAAAACGCATTGGCACGAGGCTCTCAGCGCTGCACTCAACTTTCCATTTTTGAAGGAAGTCTCGCAGAATTGCTTTGCTTTTGACGTTGTTAAGTTCAAACATTGAGGAAGTCTCGCAGAATTGCTGCTGTTTTGGACGTTGTTAGGTTGAAAAATAAAAGAAGTGTCGCAGATATTCGCAGATTTTTTGTTTTTGATGTTGTTGAGTTCGAAAAATGAGGAAGTCTCGCAGAAGAGCTTCGTTTTCAATCTGGCAGATAGACAGATAGATAGATAGACAGACAGAGATAGATAGATAGATAGAAAGAAAGAAAGAAAGAAAGAAATATAGATACATAGACAGATAGATAGTTTAGATAGATAGATAGACAGATAGATAGATAGATAGATAGACAAATAGCTAGAAAACTAGACAGCTAGCAGACAGATAGATAGACAGATAGATAGATGGACAGATAGACAGATAGACAGATAGACAGATAGATGGGCAGATAGACAGATAGACAGACATAGACAGATAGTTAGATACCAAGATAGATAGATAAATAGATGGGTAGATACATAGACAGATAGATAGACAGATAGACAGATAGACAGATAGATAGAGAGACAGTTTGATCAATAGATAGGCGGAGAGATAGATAGATAGATAGATAGATAGACAGATAGATAGACAGATAGACAGATAGACAGATAGATAGAGAGACAGTTTGATCAATAGATAGGCGGAGAGATAGATAGATAGATAGATAGATAGATAGATAGATAGATAGATAGATAGATAGATAGATAGATAGACAGACAGACAGACAGACAGACAGACAGACAGATAGATGGACAGATAGGCAGATAGACAGATAGAAAGATAGATGGACAGATAGACAGACATAGACAGATAGTTAGATACCAAGATAGATAGATAAATAGATGGGTAGATACATAGACAGATAGATAGACAGATAGACAGATAGACAGACATAGACAGATAGTTAGATACCAAGATAGATAAATAGATGGATAGATACATAGACAGACAGATAGACAGATAGACAGATAGATAGACAGTTTGATCAATAGATAGACGGAGAGATAGATAGATAGATAGATAGAAAGATAGATAGATAGATAGATAGAAAGATAGAAAGATAGATAGATAGATTGATAGATTGATAGATTGATAGATAGATAGATAGATAGATAGATAGATAGATACTCGTAGATAGGTAGAAAGAAAGATAGATAGATGGATAGATAAGTAGATACCGGGGAAGATTTTTTGGCTTATGGATGTGCAAATACAAGCTTGAACCAATTCCCTTTTGCATTTGCCAAAACCTCAATCCAAGCACACTCGCAGCTTCAAAGCTGCTACCCACCAAACAAAGACGCAACAGATTTGTTTTCTTCGTTTATGGATGTGCAAACGCAAGCTTGAACAAATTCCCTTTTGCACGTGCCAAAACCCCAATCCAAACACACTTTCATCTTCAGAGCTGCTACCCACAAACAAAGAAGCAACATTGCAGCATTTGCTCCGCATGTGGGCAAAAATTGGAGATCAGAGCTGTGTGTCTTGCATGGTGCACTAATGTAGAATGTGCCTGCACGCCTCCAGAAGCAGAATTGCAGCGTTCTGCTGATGAAAATATAAGGGGGCACAAACATCGTGTTTTGCACAGTGCACGTACAGTGCACGGACAGTGCACGCTACAGTGCACGTCACAGTGCACGGCCACAAAACGCTGTAAATACCACGTATTTTCCCAAAAATAATCAGAAAACACAAAAAGAGAAAATATTTTTATTGTTTTTTTGTAAATTGTCAACACAACGCCAATGCCATGGCATTTGCAGCGTTTTGTGGCCGTGCACTGTGGCGTGCACTGTACCGTGCACTGTGCGTGCACTGTACGTGCACTGTACGTGCACTGTGCAAAACACAGTTTGTGCAATTCTGCTTCTGGAGGCGTGGAGGCACATTCTTTGTTTGTGGGTAGCAGCTGTGAAGATGAACGTGTCTTTGGATTGGGGTTGTGCGCCCCCATTGCATCCGAATTGCCGTACGCTTGCCGCCCACAACTTCCAACGGTCTTCCGGGCGCGGCCCACAGTCATTTCCCGATTGCGTTTCATTTGTTTTCTGGTTGCCTCCGAGTTGTGGTCCTCCAAATGCCTCTTTATTTGTTTCCCTGGCCTTTATATGTCTCCCCGTGTGCCTTGTGCTGCCCGGCTCGCCGGATGTCTCTCTTTACTTGCCTCCCTTCATGTGTCTCGTGGTGTGCCTATACAAGTGTCCGGCTCTTCACCTGCCCCCTTTTACTTCCAACGGCAGAAAGCCGTTGGGTTTCAATTTCCAGAAGCTGGGGGGGCATCGCCGCTTCTCATTGATCCGCATATGTACGCGGGGTTCCGGGAAGCTAGAAGCTCTGTCCCCCGCTATGTCTCCCAGCATATTTCCGCTTTGTCTTCCACCTTGTCTCTCGCTTTGTTGACTGCCCTGTTCTCCACCGCGTCTCCCACTTTGTCCCCGACATTGTGCCCCACTTTGTCTCCCAGCATGTTTCCGACTGCGCCTCCAACTTTGCACCCCGCTGCGTTTTCCAATGCGTCTTGCAATGCGCTTCGCCTCCAGCGTGTCCCGGAAATTTGTTTCCGTTTAGTTTTCCACTTTGTCTTCCGCCTTCTTCCATTTTCGTTCCAATCTCTAGGCCCTCTTGTGTCCAAATGGGGTTTCCCAGATGTTGTCTCCCAGCAGTCTCCAGGATGATGTGGTTCATTTTTGTCTCCCTTGTCATCCACTTGTCGCCCAGCTTTCTCGAACGTTTGTCGTCCCGAAACGCAAATGTGGTTTCCTACTTAATTTTCCTTATTCTGTCTAGTGGTTTCTGGCTCTGCGTTCGTTTTTGTTTTCTTTCATTTGTTTCTCGCCCTTTGTCTCGCGCCATGCGTCTCCCAATTTATCTTTCTCCTAAGCGTCTCCAATCATGCATCTCCGACCTGATCCGTTTCCGAAGTCATTTGACCTCCAATTCCATCTCTGCTTAGCTTCGTCATGAAGTCATTCCTGTTTCCTGTTTCCTGTTCGCACCTATCCCCGTTGTGTCTTCTTGCTGTCTTAAATTCCGGCATGGTTTCTGAGAAAATATCGTTTGTGGTTCATGTTTTTTCCATTAGGCATGGATCAAAAGTTCAATGGATATGGAATCACCGTTTGGTGTTTTTTGGGGGCGTAATGTTCGCGCGAAATAAATGATAATGAAACAGCTCAGGCTTGATGTACTGGCACTGGCGGGATTATACTTGATCCCGCCAGTGCCCAAGAGGAAGGCCGCGCCGGGGGACCAGGAGGAGGTGGAAGAAGGCAAGCAGTGGCCCACCTTCCCAGGCGAGGTTGGGCCCACGGATCCCTGATCCCGGAAGGGGTCACGCTGCGTGGGTTAAAAGAGTCAGATGCATGCCGCATAAGCCGTGAAATCGGCCCAGTCTTTTGCATCGACTTTACGACTCGCACCCACAAGCCCCAGCAGCTGTTCCCGGCGCGCTTTGGTGGCCGCCGGTGTCCTGCGGGGGTCCTTGAGCTCGTCAATGGCAAGGACGGAGTTCCACCCCAATCTGCAATTGTCACGGGGTGCGGTTCCAAGGTTGCAGTGCTTCAGGAATCCAAAGTTGCAGGCCTCCATGGTTTCAAAGCCCCAACGTTTCAGAATTCTGGGATGAAAAGGGTTCTAGATTCTAGAGCTCTCCATGGTTTCAAGATTGCAACGTCACGGGGCAAACTTGGCTTCAGGACCCAAAGAATGAAGGTTTCCAAGGTTCGAGGGTTCCAAGATTTTAGGGGTTTTAAGTTCCAAGGTTCCAGAATTTCCGGGTTCTACACTCCAGGTTGTTCTAAGAGTTAGAGATGCATGAAACAGCTCCGCAATGCTCCGCACATGAAACAGACAAAAATGCAAACTGATAAAACGAACCACAAACTAAACCTGTAACTCTGGTTATGGTTTCCCAAAATTACACCAGCATACACCCCAAACAGCAACAACGCATGTTTCCACCAAGGTGATGTGCAATTCAAATTTCATGAGACTATCTGGCGCACTCTTGTCTTCTGTTTTACTCCTTCACTACTTCAACCGTACTGTTCCATAAAAGGGAGAAGAAGGGAGACAAGCACCGGAACCCCAGCCCGAAGCAGGAGGAACCGGGAAATCCATGATAGAACAGAACCCTTGTCCTGAAAAAAGAAAGAGAGAAGGGAGACAAGCACCGGAACCCCAGCCAGAACCAGGAGGAACATGGAAGAACTAGCAAATCACGATGGAACAGAACCCCTTTCCTGAGGAAAGAAAGAAGAGAGAAGAAGGGAGACAAGCACCGGAACCCAAGAAGAGGAGAGAATAAGAGAGACAAGCAGCGGAACCCCAGCCGGAAGCAAGAACAACCAGCAAAGCATGATGGAACAGAACCCCTGTCCTGAGCAAAGAAAGAAGAGAGAAGAAGAAGGGAGACAAGCACCGGAACCAAAGAAGAGAGAAGAAGGGAGACAAGCACCGGAACCCCAGCGGGAACCAGGAAGAACAAGGAAGAACCAGCAAATCATGATGGAACATATGGAACAGAAACCTTTTCCTGAGGAAAGAAAGAAGAGAGAAGAAAGGAGACAAGCACCGGAACCAAAAAAGAGAGAGGAAGGGAGACAAGCACCAGAATCCCAGCCGGAACCAGGAAGAACATGGAAGAATCAGCGTATCATGATGGAACAGAACCCCTTTCCTGAGGAAATAAAGAAGAGAGAAGAAGGGAGACAAGCACCGGAACCAAAGAAGAGAGTAAAAGGGAGACAAGCACCGGAAGCCCAGCCGGAACCAGGAGAAGCCAGCAAATCATGAAGGAACAAAGGCCGTTTCTGGCAAGAATTGGGAATCCCAATCAGCTCAAGAGCTGTTTGGGGGAAAAAACCCACAAGAATTCCTACAAGGATTTCCCGCGAGGAAATCCTGCACGGGCTCCAGCAAAGGGTTTCTGCAAGGTTCATGCCTGGGTTCCAGCAAAGGGTGTCTTCAAAGGCACAGGCAAAGATTCCATCATCGCATGTTCAGCAAGGGGCCCTCGTCTTTAATTGTCTGCCATCCCTCCCAAAACCTAACACAGCCCAGCACATTGAGCAAAGCACGAAACAATCAGAAAAAAAAAGTCAAGACGGAAGCCAAAGCAAAGCAAGTGACAAGGTTGCAAAACAACCCCAACAAAGTTTATGCCATATTTTCAACATCACAAATTGGCACAATAACCAAAGCAGGAACATCAACCGAAAACAGGAAACAACATTTCGCGCAAAGTTCCAGCAAGGGATCCAGCAAGGTTCCGGCAATAATCTAGCAAGTTTCCAGCAAGGGTCTTGCAGGGTCACATCCTTATTGGAATTGTCGTTGTTGTCCTTTCGCCGGCAGAATATGACCCGTATTTGGGGATATGCCAGCAGTGTCTTCTGTCCTTTTTTTACATCTTTCCCACTCTAACTCCACAGGAGGACGGGAAGTGCTACTACTCCCAGAAGAGCATCACGAACAGCCCCACCGCCACATGGGCACTGGGAGCAAGTCCTTCCTTGCAAAAGGCTTACAGCCGCCTCCCGCTCCTGCTGACTCCCACGACACCTATCGCCCTGGAAGAAGGGTTTACGGCGACGGTGTCAGAGGACGTGAAGACCGACCTCGGCAATGGGAAGGATCTTGGGTTCGCTAGCGGTGGGTGGTATAAGCTAGATAGATCGATAGATAGATAGATAGATCGATAGATCGATCGATAGATCGATAGATAGACAGATAGATACATAGATAGATAGATACATAGATAGAAAGGTAGATAGATAGATAGATAGATAGATAGATAGATAGATAGATAAATAGATAGATAGATAGATCGATAGATAGATAGATAGATAGACAAATAGCTAGAAAACTAGACAGCTAGATAGGTAGGTAGATAGATAGATAGGGAGATAGATAGACAGACAGACAGACAGACAGATAGATAGATAGACCGATAGATAGACCGATAGATCAGTAGGTAGGTGGTAGGTAGATAATCAGAGAAAGATAGAGAAACAGAGAGAAAAAGAGCGAAAGAGGGAGAAAGAGAGAGAAAGAGAGAGAGAGAGATCAAGCACCTTTCAGTCCATCAGTGGCTTCGCTCTGCCATCCCTGATTCACAACAACCAAGCTCTCCTATAGGTTTCCTATTTTTGAAACTTCCGCCACCGCCTTGTGCGGTACTACTGGCAATACTACAGTATTAATTACTGCAAATTTAATTAGTTGCCCATGTATTGCCTTGCTGTGAATGCGTTGTCCAGCAACTTCAGGTTGGTTTTTGAAAGCCTTGCTGAGTACCTCGCTTGGTTCCAAAACTTGGTGCCGCCTGCTTTGAGATTCATTGGTGAGGCTCCAATCACAATTGCAGCAGAAGTTGCAGAACAATAGTTTTTTTAATCTGTTTCCAATCTTTCTCATTGCTTTCTTGTGTCCTGCAATGGCAGACCAATGATAGACATGTAAGACTAAGACATTGCAATACGCTCACAGGCGATCGATCAATTTGCTCGAGGCTGGATCACTTTCCACGTGTACCCAGGATAAATTCGTTCGCTCCTGGGTTTCTGCAGGGGTGGAACACAGACCGACGAGTCCAGCTTTGCTTCACCAAGACATAAATTGTGGCAATCTGCTTACCTCAGCGGTAAGTCAGGCCGGCTCGGCTTGGGGCAACGATGACATACGATGACTTTGATTGACTTTAAGACTTTGCCTGGATGTTCTTCGATTGTCACATACAAAATCCTAACAAATCTCACTGTAAAGTTTTGTTTTTTTTGCACCCTTTTGCACTTTGCAGGCATGGCAACTCGATGCTGTGATTGACTGGGAGAGTGCGGTCGTTGCTCCTTCTGACCTCTTATGTCGACCGCGCGAGGAACCATGTTGAACAGTAAATATGCAGTTGGCGACTGTTTTGTGCGAATGTCCTCATTTGCCACGTGTGTCAAAGGACAAATGGCGGATAGCCATGGACTTTGGAGAACTTGCAAAGGTGGGAAGTTCCAGAAAGAATGAATTGAACTCCCAATCCAACAGGTTTCTATTAAAAAATAAATATCTTTGACGGATTTTGAAGGCAATTCTAACATGTATTATATATAAATGTTGAGGTGCTATTAATATCTATTAATAACCCCCCGAAAACATTAAGAGCTTCAAAATAAAATTTAGGCCAAACATTGGCCAGGGGTCCCTGGAAAATTTTCCAGACCTATGTGGCGCCGAACAAATTGCCTAATTGAAAACGAACACATAAGTGGACTTTCTTTCCATTTTAGTATTCCCAAATGAATTGCCTAATTGAAAACAAATACATAAGTGGACTTTCTTGATTTTTTTCAACTCCAGAACTTTCCAGGAAAGATTTGGAGTTTGGAGTTTACAGCTTCCAGCTCAAAGAGTCTTGAGGGCTTCAGAAAGGGTTTGAGAAAGGGTTGCCCACCAAAAACCGCGGGAGCGTATTTCAGCATACTTTATTTTGGGACCCCCTAAATAAAGCATTTGGTTCATGAGGTAGTTGAGTGTTTTAATATGTTTTAATTATTTTTTGAAAAGGGTTCAAACAGGAAAGCAATTGAGAAACGAATCCAACCACCAAAAAAATAGACCCCTGAAATCAAAATGCTTTATTTAGGGGGGTGCAAACATTCATTATTATTTAGATGTTAGTGGCTCCAGGGCTACCTGAAAAACCAAGGAAAAACGGAAAAACAAACAGAAAAAACGGAAACAAACACGGAAAAACAACGGAAAAAAATCGAGGAAAAAAAACGGAAAAAACACGGGAAAAAAACAACGGAAAAAATCATGTCAAAAATCGGTTGGCGTACTTTATTACGGGGGGGGTTTATTAATATTTCCCGGGATTGGGCGTACTTAATTGCGGGGGGTTCTTTAGTAGCACCCGGACGTTAGGTATATGTGCAATGATGTGCACAGGAAGAGACTTGGTTGAGCAAGACAAGTTCTATGGCATACAAGAAAGTATAACAAAGTTGTCTCCACATAGGTTCTAGCCCTTGACAAGCGCAGATTGAGAGAAAGTACTGGCCCTGGTTGAAGGAAGGCCGCACAGATGTACTGGACATATTCTAGAAACCATACTTAAATGTATGCCCGTAGTTTTCTACAATATGGAAAAGATATGAAAAGATGTGAAGATGCACAGAATGATGCTCAGCATGGTGCGCACAGAAAGCCACCGTCAGCATTGGACTTGAGCCAGGGAGCTTGGCTAGCCGGCTGCATGGCTGACAAAACTCTACCCAGATGTGATTTGGAGGCAATGCTGGGGCTTTGGAACGGTGGTTGGGTATCATGGTAATTCCATGAATGATGCTTACATTCCCAAACCGATAGCTTCTCTTCATATTTTTGTGGCAAAAACTCTTTCATGTTTCAGCAAGTTTCCCGTGCAGCAAATCAAAACATATCAGAACTAAGTTTCGATGTTGACACTGGCCCGATCATGCAGGTGCTTCGAACGAAAAACACATGAACATGCCACAAAGCCTGGCAAAGAGCCCAATGTAGTGAACGCTATTTAAAAAGAAGTGAAAGATATTGGAGGACCAGCGTAGAATGTGCAAGGGTTCGCTCTTTGCGTATTTTGCGTGAAGCTCAATCACTGGGTTGCATTCTGCTCACCGGACAAGGAGGGCACTCTTGCAGGTTGGATGAGACAAGGATATAATGTGGCAATGTTGCCAATGCTATTTCAATTTTCATTTGGTTTTCGTGTTGCCATCGCACAGGCCCTGGTTGAGAACTACACTAGGGCTGCAAAGAAGTTGGAAACAAGGAGCTTCTTTACATGCATACTGTTCCAAATGGTTCTGTTGCCCTTTCGTGTTTTGCAACTTGGCTTCCCGCGGAGAGACGCAAGCAGTTTTAGGGCTTGTATCACGGCTTTGCATCAGAGGAGACTTGTTCGGTATCAGTCCTGGGCGAGCTTGGTGGAAACATGTCAAAGAGTCACTTCCTCAGACTGGACTGTCACAGAATCACAGAACCGTCACAGATTGCCACAGATTGCCAATGGTAAGTCGATTGCCACCGGTAAGTCACTGGTAAGTCACTGGTAAGTCACTGGTAAGTCACTGTTGTCAGGATTGAGACTGGTGTCACTGGTTCGATTCTCGCTGTGATCCCATGCGTGCGACTGATGCGACTCTAAGATTTTGAAGCCCTTTCTGTTGCGTGTCTTGACCTCCTCCGGTCTGTGGACAGGTCAAAGGTGCTGGATATGCCAACTGAAGCCTATACTGCTATACTATATATATAATCCTATTGATGCTGTACTGTTCACTGTACAGTCTTCCAAGTTGTACATAGGTCACAGACAGGTCTAGAGATATCTAGAGCTTGTTTAGGTAAGCGTTCGAAAAGGCGAAGCAAACAATGCGCGTGCAGCTTCTTCAGGCTTCGAGTCTGGGCTTGGGATGGATGTGGCCCCCCTCTCCTGCTCCTATCTACTCCTACTTCAATGTCATGCAATGTCAAAAACATTGTTAGTTGCAGATGTTGCAGGTACTTTGCTTCGCTCCTTTACTCCAAGGACAGCATCATATTGGGACCCTGCAGACTCCTTTGATCTCCATGATCTCCTTTGCCTTATTAAATGCCCTTCATCCTTCAACTTACTCCTTGTTGAGTTTGACAAGCTAGTCTCTGCAGACTGCAGACACATGCTTGCCTTGCAAAGAGGGTGGCAAGCTTCCCTTGCACTTGGCAAAGATGAATCGGAGTGCAATTGGCCCTTTCTAATGGTTTGGATCATGGCATTGATCATGGATCTTCATTGTATAGCATAGTAAGCATAGTAAGCATAGTAAGCATAGTAAGCATAGTAAGCATAGTAAGCATAGGCATTTTGGGATTCTTGGGCCTCCATTCTAGCCTCAATGAGAACACTGACATCCTGGGACATCATCTGGAGGTCTGCATTTCTGACTTCTGTTGTCGCCGCAGGACAGACGAGCAAATCCAAAGTTGACCTGGATAGCCATGGGCGTGCAGCTTCTTCAATTCAGAGATTGGACAGGATGGACGAAAATTTGCAAAGGGAGGTCATGGGAAGGCTATGTTTTCTTATTTTTCCCATGTTTCCCTGCTTCTTTGCTTTTTTTTTGTTTTTTCTGCTTCTTTGCTTCTTTCTTTTCTGTTTCTCTGCTAGTCTGCTTCTCCGCTTTTCTGCTTCTTCGCTTCTTTGCTTCTTTGTTTCTTTGCTTTTCACTGCTTCTCTGCTTTTCTGCTGCTTTGCTTCTCCGCTTTTCTTTTTTTTGTGCTTTTTTTGCTTGTCAAGCCTAAATACCGAAGAAACACTACATTAATATACATTAATAAACCCACATAAACCCTAAATCAACCTTAAATCAGAACCCTCAAGCCAACCACACAAAAAGCTAGAGCAACCCCAAGTTAGCCGTAAACACACACACTAAACATCACTAAAACAACCCTAAGTAAAGCCTAAAACCATCTAAAACCAATCCTAAACGGACCCTGGTTGCAAAATACTATGCAAATGCATGCAAAATGAGCAGTTCGAGCACCAACATTTTGCGAATACCATGGATAATGAGAGGTTGAGCTCCAAAATCATGTGGGAAATGGCAGCTTCCAGCTTCAAAATGCTGCAGATGGAAAATGGACAGAACAACAAATCAAAACAAGAAACCTAAAACGGAAAAACAACAATTTCCCAAACAATCCCGGCCCCTTTGCAAAGTGGCGGAACCGGGTGTAATATCCCAAATCAAAGAGATGTGAGATGCAAGTATGTATTCTCCCTGCTTAGTCACATTCAACATCGTTCTTGGTGCCAAGGTGATCCTTGGTTCAATGATCTTCAGTATCGTATCCTGAGATGATGACATCCTGCTTAGTTGCACTTGGATTGATATTTTGTTATTGTCAGCCGGCAATGTAGCAGCTGGCACTCACTTGAGGATGTTAAAAAACATCAACAGGCATTGCCAACGTGCATGCTTCTGATTCCTTACTGCAAATGATTTGAGCATAACTTCCCGCGCCTCAGATGTCAAAAAGACATAAAAGGACCATGCGTGCCAAGGTCCTTAGACATTGCATGAAATGAAAGTGCATGTTATGACAATATTATGGGATAATCAGAGCAATTATATGCAATGGCCAATTGCGGTCATCAACAGGATCACAGCTTTGTGATCAGTCTACAACAGCTCTTTTTGGCTCAAGGTTTCCATACAAATCTTCATACCTGTTGAAGCTTCTAAGACTCATGGCTGACTTTGCAATATCAACAACTCGCTTTAGATACAGTCTTTTCAGATCTTTTTAGAATGCCAGACACATCAGACACACATTACAAATCATTACAATCTACAAGACATGGAGAGCGTAGAGTCTACCTGACAGTCTACCTGACAAGCCACTGATCCGGTGGCTTCAGCAGAGAAATATTCGTCCAATGCACGTGCTGCTTGTCCGCCATGGCCAATCTGAAAACAATATCCTGGAGGAGACTTCAATTTTACATACTTGAGCATTTCTTCCGATTCTTCGTCTTGACGTGGATTTCAGTAGCACTTTGTAAGTCATCGTTGTAAGATGCCAACTGGCAGAGCAGTTGCTAATTTGTTCTCAATGACGAAGGCAGCCCATGGCAGTGGAGAAGCCTTCTATGGGAAGAGATCAATCGATCCCCCCCTATCTAAGCTAGGGCACCAGCAGGCTCGCAATGTGTGCAACGTGGACCTGAGAGACATGTCAATCTTGGAACGTCGAAAACCGAGATAGTGAAATACCGATGAACAATATTGAACAATAGTATAATCTACTACATATACTGTAGATTACTGTAGTATGATTACGCCAATGAAAACAACGCAAAACACAAGGATGATCTTGACTTTGCCTCTGAGCGAACTCCGTGGTTTTGTTTTTGCTGTTATTGGCTTATCATTGTTGTCAGTTTCTAGCCGCTAGCCGCTAGCTTGTCAAGACATCTCCAAGTCCAAGATTCTAATCATCATAGTGTTGGACAAACCACAGCCCGTGTCCCTCGGGTGACTTTTGTGTTCGTTGCCAGGCCGAGTTGCTTGGAAGGCGCTTAGGCGCGCAACTGAAAGGGCCAGAAACTCAATTCCGAATGAAACAAAGACATTCAAAACATGGAGGTCGCATGCAAGTGGCGTGGAATATAATGATGATCGACGCCAATTGTAGCTCATGCTGTTGCGGATATGATATATGTGTGAAAAAATGTGAACAGTATTAAAGAGTTGCGTTTTGCAACCATGGACAAGCTACACTTGCGGCACTGCTTAGGTCAAAGCACCGTCTCAGATTGCTTTGCAGCAGCATGAAGATGAGTCCTTAGCAAAACTCAAAACTGCTCAAACTCCATGATTGTCGTGTCGACGGTTAGGATGAAACCCCAACTACCTAGTGCTTTGTATACTTTGTTGCTTTAGGTTCAAAGTGGGTGAGGGTATGCCTGAAGCCTTTTGCAACAAGTGCAAAAGTGCTCCTTCTTCAGAGGGTGACTCGTGGTGTACTGGTTGTTCAGCCCTCGAATTGTCCCAGAACCTGCTGCGTCAGAGGTGGGTCAACATTGGTATACGCAAGATTGCTGAGGAAGCCCTGCTGTCAACTGCAAGGCTGATCAAAGGTTTCCGCAACCTTGATCGGGCCATTACCACTGACGGTCCACCAACAGGTTCTGGGATTGCTTCGAAGGCTCGGGCTGCCCCACCGAGGTCAAGGAGTCCAAGAAGAGACAATCGGCCGCCTTTACCAAGAGCCCCAACTCCTCCTCCAGCTAGATCACCCCTTCGTCGCGAGGAGCGTTACTCTGAACGCGACGCGAGGGAGAGGAGTCGAGACAGAGGTCGAGACACAAGGCGACGTGAAGAGAAGTTGGAAGAAGAAAGCTACGATTATCTAGCTGAGGAGTCAGAAGAGGAGGAGCCCAGGCACCGTGACGATTGCCTAGAGGAAGCTGAGAGACATCCCAGAGTGAAAGAAGAAGATACATACGAGACCAAGGGTAGAGGAAGCGAAAGGCCTGCTGAGCCTATTGGTCCTCCCCCTGTGCCCCGGGAGGTTGAGTATCCTTCTAGTGGCAAGAAAAAGAAGAAAAAGAAAAACAAAGGGAGAAGAGGTGGCACCAAGCACCAACGTCGTTACAGAGAAGTAGAGGATCCTCTGCGCCGCAGTCACAGGAAGCTGACGGGGGAGGAAACTGAGCTGTCTTCAAGCTTCCGCCACGGTCTCGATCGCAGGGTCTAAGGACCCCTTGCGAGGAGACTGAATCCTTCCTTTGCTGTCTGTGGACGTGCAATGAGGGAGGACGTGGAATGGCTATACACAGAAGACGAGGGCGAGAGGCGAGAACGCGTCGCCGAAAGCCTTGCCGCTCAGCCCAAACCAAATGCACCTCAAGAGTACGATGTACTCGAAGCCGAGTTTTGGAGGACACGCCATGTCCCCGCTGGCTCAGTATTGACTTACAGTCTTGCAGACGAAACCTTGGCACCAGCTGGCCTTATCGCCGTGCTGGTAAAGACCCGCCAGTCCAAGCAGGAAGGGATCTGGCTGGAGGTGAAAGCGCTGGGTTGTGCCGAGGCCGCTTTCAAGCATCGTTTGCAAGGGTGTTACAAAGGAGCCAGGAAGTTTCATCATATATGCTATCCCGATGCCGAAGGAAACTGTCCACAGGCTGGTTCACAAGGCGTCCATTTGATGAAGTTCAAGTGGTACCCTCCTGGGGACTTCGATGCAGAATGGCTCTCCAAGGCATCTCGAAAAGCAATATTGGAGGGCATCGACATGGCTGCAACAGAGAGGGAAGGAGAGCCTCCTCCAGGTCGCAGACACCCTGGCCCGGTTGGAAACGATACGTCCAAAGTCGAGGAGCAGCTCCGGAAGCTCAGAGACAAGGGCCGCACGCGTGTTACCTTCGTTGGGGAGGGGGGCGAACTACCATCGGCTGTTCCAGACGGTGGGCCTGGGGGTGCGTTGAGGGCTGGAATTTTGAGAAAGCCTGTGGAGTCATCCTCTGCGGTGGCGCTCAGCCCCAGGACCCAAAAGGTCAAGGAGGAAGTCATCCCGGTGGACTCGGATACCGAAGTCGCCCCCAAGGAGAAGAAGAGAGGACTGAGAAAGAAGAGAGGGAAGGGAGTTGGAGAGACGCTGGCACTAGCCGTTGCGTCTCGTCAGACCCTGACCTCTCAACAGACCGGGAAAAAGAGGCGATCAAGGAGTCGGTCGTCGCAGCGAGACAAGAAGAAAAAGAAAAAGAGAAAGAGACGCTCGAGCAGTCAAGACTCCTCGCAGGAGGGGTCGAGCGAGGACTCGTCCAGCTTGTCACTGCAGCCCCCTCTCAAGAAAAAGTCGATGAAGGAGCCTGGGTCAGTATACCGGTTGCTGGTTGCTCAAGCGGCCGAGCAACTGGCTCAAGAAGGTTTGGAACAGGACGAAAGCACAGGTCTTCGCGGGGCAGGAAGCAAGGTCAAGATGTACACGTACTATCAACTGGCCTTGAAGCCCTCGCTGGACGCAAGAAGCAGAGACGCCAAGGAATTGGCGATGCTGGCAAAGGCTTTGGACTTGCTACAAGAAGGGGACCTGGCACAGCTGGCCGATCTTATCTCGGCCCGGCTGATTGCCGTGGATACCGCGACGCGCCAAGGCTGGCAGGCCGCCCGTTATCTGGAGATTCAGTCTCTGGAGGACGACGGGACGGCCCCACCGCACATTCTTCTGGCTGCGATGCGGCACCAGAAGCAGGTGGAGAAAGCCGGCGGAAAAGGCTCATGGTCTCGCTCTCAAAGCTGGCAGTGGGACTGGCAAAGCGATGCTCGTCCGAAAGGAAAGGGCAAGGATCAGAAAGGAAAAGGCAAGAAGGGCAAACCCAAAGGAAAAGGAGGAAAACAGGGGTGGAGCCACTGGCAGGGCTCACCAAAGGAGAAGACGGGCGAAGCAGCACCGAAGCCCGACAGTTGAATTTAGCTGGACCTGCTGGAAGTGATACCCGTGCAGGTCTTAACAGTGATGATTCAATCTCAGGCAGCATGGTTGAGCTCACTGCGGGAGTTGATCATTCAGTGGAGAGCTCTGGGAATTTGAAAGAACAGAGTGCTGGCTCCCATTTGAGCGAAGCTTTGCATTCAAGTTTGAAGGAATTCAGCATGAGTGGTGCTGGCCTGCCTTTTGATCTGGCCGTGCACGACACTGAAGACAGGGATTCCATGTTTTCCTTTGGGACGATTTTGGAAAAGCTGTCTGGATGTAAGACAGTTGCCGATTGTGGCGTGTGGCTGGCATGGGGGTTGAAGAACCAGCTTTTTAGTTTGAAGCCAGAGACTGCTGGACCTTCACGGACTGCCGGTCGTAATAGACCTGGCAGTCTGTTCCCCCTGCCGGTTGAATTTCCTTCTTTTTTACCTGCGGGCCCTGATGACCCAGCCGCCGCCGGTGGCGTGGCTTTCGCCACGGAGTGCTGGCTGGGCGTAGCCTGCACAGCCATCAATACTTTCTATGACTGTCAAAAAGACGGGACCGGGCGCAAGCCAGGAAAAGTTCACCGTGCGGCAATGGGAGCCTTAAGAGGAAAAATCAATAGGTTTTTACAAGGAGAAGTTCCCTTAGACCTTGATTTTCCTGAAGTTGTTTCTGACTTGAAATCTAAGAAAATTAGCTACACTGGGGAGGAAATCTCACAGCCATATCCACTAACAATGGAACAGATTGAGAAGGGACTGCCGCCCCCGCAACACGGGGGATCTGTTGACGTGATGGAATTTTTGACAGGGAGAACAAAGTACCTAATGGAGAACCCCGAAGAATGTTTGCTGCCAATGACTGAATGGGGACCGGTAAAGAAACAGGCAAAGGTACATGTTCATAGAGGGGAGGAATTAAAGGTATTCAAACTTCTTGAGAGTAGGGGGGTTGTGCGCTGGGTCCCGGAATCCTCTGCGTTCCAAACCCCCCAGGGTCCATTGCTTAACGGTTTATTCGGAGTTGTAAAACCTGGCAAATTTACTTCAGGCAATTTGCCGGTTTTACGTGTTATCATGAACCTTATTCCAGCCAACAGTATTCTTTCTGTTATTAAAGGAGATATTTCTACTTTACCGAGTCCCACATCCTGGATCCCTTTAGTGGTTGCGGAAGGTTCAGAACTTTATATGAGTCAAGCTGATATGTCATGTGCATTCTACCTCTTCCGGATCCCCCATCTTTGGGAACCATATATGTGTTTTAATTATGTTGCCTGCGGTGCTGATGTTGGTTTGGATCCAACTCTTCGGTTTAGACCGGCATGTATTGTATTGCCCATGGGATGGTCTTCTTCTGTTGGGGTAATGCAAATGATTAGCCGGGAGATACTGCTGCGGAAGTTACCCAACAGCCTCGAATTGAAGAAAGGAAAACCTCTACCGCCATGGTTTGCTCAGGCAATTCGGGAATCTACGTGCAGCACTTCTTGGTGGCAAGTGTACTTGGACAATTTCATGTCTGGTGAGGTTATTCACGAGACGGAGGCCACCATAAATGCCCAGTTGCAAGACGCCGCTTCTCGAGCCTGGGGCGATGCAGGAGTTTTGACAGCGGCTGATAAGCAGGTGATTAATTCGCCAGAAGTGACGGAGCTTGGGATCAGGCTTGATGGAAGATTGGGTATGCTGGGGGCCTCACCCGCGCGTATCCTAAAGACTTTGTGGGGAAGCGTGTTTTTGTTGAGCCAGCGTCGATGGGACAAGAAGCTGGCGCAGATGATTTTGGGCCGTTGGGTATTTATCCTCCAGTTCAGGAGAGCAGCAATGGGTGTCCTTTCACAGGCTTGGGACACCATTGAAACCCCCTGGCCTCATGCGGGCCTGGTGCGGAGGCTTCATAGAGAAGTGCTGGTACTAATGTGCCTGGCACCTCTCCTGCAGACTGATATGCAAATTGGATATGATCCGCTGGTGACATGTTCGGATGCTTCGGAAACGGGAGGGGCCTCGGCTATGAGCTCCCTACTGACATGGTCAGGTCGCTCGTTAGTGGGGTATCTCAACAACTTGCGAGCCAGGCCCATCCCCATTCCGGTTTTAGTTATTTCAGTTTTTAATGGTATCGGTGGTTCCTTCCGTATTTATGACGTGTTAGGTTTAGAACTTGCTGGGAAGATATCGATAGATATTTCCCGTGCAGGGAACAGAACCACCAGATCCACCTGGCCGGATGTCATTGAACTTCATGACATTGAGAAAGTGACCAAAGATGACGTCCGTTCGTGGGCTAATACCTTTTCCCGCATTTCAGAAGTGCATGTCATAGCTGGGTTCCCTTGCGTGCACCTCTCAAGCGCAAGGGCATACCGCCAAAACTTAGCTGGTGAGGGATCCCGTTTATTCTGGACCCTTCTCACCTTGCTGGGTTGGGTCCATCAGGTTTTTGGGACCTTTTGCAAAGTGAAGCACTGCGTTGAGAATGTGGCGTCCATGGACGAAGCAGCTCGACGGGAGATATCAAAGGAGCTGGATATCGTACCTGTTAAGTTGGATCCAGCTGACTGCATGGATTATAGCAGACCACGGTTGGCATGGTGCTCGGTAGAGCTTTTTGCAATGGACGGTGTACAGCTTTGGACGGAAAAGGAGTACATTCGGGCGGTTGTGGTTGCCCCCAAACCTCCCGTCGAAAGCTGGATTCGTCCGGGCTGGACATGGCCTTTCAAGGATGAGGGAGTTTGTTTTCCAACTTTTATGAAATCTATAAAAAGAAACAAACCCCCACCGGCGCCAGCTGGCCTTCACCGTGCTAGCCCGGACACAGTTGAACGGTGGAGGCAGGACTGTTTCAGGTTCCCTCCATACCAATATGCAGAGCATTTTATGCTCTGCAATTCTGTGGGAGAAAAGCGGCCGCTGGATTCTTCCGAGCGGGAGCTTCTCCTGGGTTTTGGGCCAGGCCACACTCTTAACTGCCTGGCAGCTTCAGAGGCAAAGAAGAGCTCAGAAGCCTTTGAAGATCTGCGTAAATCGTTATGTGGCGATTCATTTAGCATCCTTTCCTTTGCAATTATGATTTCGCAGATGTGTGCTGAACTGGTACCCCGGATGGGGCCTGGTCAGATTGTACAGCGGCTAGGACTTGCGCCGGGAGCGTCCGCTCATCCCGCTGTCCTTGCGCCTCTGACTCGATGGCTACAATATGGGAATGACCTAGCCCCTGCGCCTGACGCTCCTCTTCAACTGGTTCAGCACCTTGGCTTAATGGTTAACCATACAGGGACCGATGTTAGGATTCAAACGGGGCATTTAATGGGGGGTAAGTCCCCCGCACATGGGTCCGTGCGGGCCTGGTGGTGGCAATGGAAATAATTGTTTACGGTTCGCTGGACCCGATCTTCCCATATTAATTTGTTGGAAATGAAGATGATTCTTAATACCTTCCTTTGGAAAGCTCGGTCCCCTTCATCTGTTAATTGTCGTTGGTTGCACCTTGAGGACAGCATGGTTTGTTTGTATATTTTGTGTAAAGGGAGAACCTCCAGCCGAATGCTGCAGCCGATTTGTAACAAAATAGGAGCTCTTCAACTAGGACTTGGGTCCGTTGCCATGCATGCTCATGTGGGTTCTGCTGAGAACCCCACTGATGCTGGAAGCCGTGCGTGATGGGTCGGCGCCTTCCCCGGGTCGTGCTGGCAGCTCGCTCTCAGGCAGAGAGACGAAAGCGCCGGGCAGGAATCCGTTTGAGAGATTTCAGCATCACACAGAAGACAAAGGATCGCTATGAATCCGCTGTTGGAAGAATCTTGCCCTACTTGGAAACACATAGTAGTATGGATAATCTTGATTTGGTTCTCTGTGACTACATTGAACTCCAATGGTCACGTGGAGAATCACTTCATTTTATTGCAGATGGGCTGTCAGGGCTTCATTTCTTTATGCCTGAGCTTCGCGGGATGCTCAGGCAATCCTGGCGGCTCTTTAAAGATTGGCGACGCATCGAAGCCCCAGCCAGAGCACCACCCATGACCGTGTTACTGGCCAGGGCAATAGTGGCACGTGCTGTTGAGCTGAACCACCTGCCGTTCGCATGCCTCATTTCACTGGGGTTTCACGCTCTTCTTCGTACAGGTGAGATGTTAAAGATAACATATAAAGACTTGGAATTTTCAAAGGAGTGTGGAATCTTGTCATTGCATCAATCTAAGTCGGGATTGCGCTCTGGTACCTCAGAGGCAGTAGCCATCCGTGATGCATTGACACTGGAATTGCTGCATACATGGAAAGTGGTGTATCACCCCAGTTTGGGGGACAAGTTGTGGCCTTACTCCCCACAATCTTTCCGTGAGACCTTTCGTTCTTACCTTCGGTTCTTTCGTGTCATGCATCTCGATCTCAAACCTTACTCTCTTAGGAGAGGAGGTGCAACACACCTCCTCCAAAAGGGGGTACCCATGGATACAATATTGCTCCGTGGACGCTGGCATTCACTTGCCGTTGCGCGTCTCTACCTCCAGGATGGCCTGGCCATGCTTCCTGGCCTTCGTATTGATTCAAAAGATTTGGTCAAAATTCAACAATATACCTTTCAGACCCCAAAAACAGCCTTCTCCCCCTTGTAGAAGGCCATGCTTGGGGCCGTGGAAGGTGCTCCAGAACCTTTCAAATTTGAATGTAGCTGAGCCGACCTTTGCCCATGCCTTTTGGGAACTGGCGGTCTCAAAGCTGTTGCCTCGGATCCATGCCTCTTGGACAAGGCACAGTCTTTCAATGCCATCATGCCATTTGATGGCTTAGTGAAGTTGTTTGTGAAATTGGTCAATAGACCTACTTCAGGTTTTAGAAGACCTTCAAGGTCCAGCAGAAAAAGCGCGAGGAGTTGGGTGGTGAATCCTTGATTGTCGTGTCGACGGTTAGGATGAAACCCCAACTACCTAGTGCTTTGTATACTTTGTTGCTTTAGGTTCAAAGTGGGCCCTCCCACCTCACCCTGTGCTGAGTTTTACTCGTGCACGGGGTCGGTATAAGGAAGCGGAAGGTGCTCCAGAACCTTTCAAATTTGAATGTAGCTGAGCCGACCTTTGCCCATGCCTTTTGGGAACTGGCGGTCTCAAAGCTGTTGCCTCGGATCCATGCCTCTTGGACAAGGCACAGTCTTTCAATGCCATCATGCCATTTGATGGCTTAGTGAAGTTGTTTGTGAAATTGGTCAATAGACCTACTTCAGGTTTTAGAAGACCTTCAAGGTCCAGCAGAAAAAGCGCGAGGAGTTGGGTGGTGAATCCTAGAAATGTCAATTGTCCCAACATGTCCCAACACTTGACAGATGCCATGTTGATTTCCTTCTGTTACACATTACACATCCAAATCTGAGGAGAGCAATGCAAACTGTGCAGCCATTGGCTTCGGCGTTGCAACTGCCTGTCACCGTCCATCCAGATGTTCACGAAGTTCAGGCACGAGTTGGTGTGGCCATGTAACACAGAATGGTATAATTAGCATGATATAGCACCATGATATGACAGGAGTAGTATGGATTAGTTACAGAGTTACAGATGATTACAGTATATTGCAGCATATATAGTTGGTATGGCCTTTGTCCATTGGTCCATGCACGGCAGATGTTTCTTTCAGGGCTTCTTTGGAGCTCCAGATGTCGTGACCTCGGTGATTGCGTTGAATTTTACCAGATATCTTCGGCTGATATCGGCTGGACCCAGGCGCGTGGTTTGGAGAGGATCCAGATCCAAGAGCAATTCCCAGGATCGAAACATGTTCATAAGATTTCATAAACCTGTTCAAATATGTTCAAATCGTTTCTAACAGTTTCAGTGCCAAAGATTGCGAAAACCGCGTGCCTGGTACTCCTCTGAGCACTCTTAGCCAGAAACCTGTAGCAGGATTCGATGCAGCTCTGGTGCCTGAAAATGGACAAGGATCGGAGACATGTGCTGAGGTGGGCACTGTCAATGGTAATAGATGGTGCTAGAATTCGGAGTGAACATCATTACTTTTTTATTTATATATTTCTTGTTATGTATTGCTTTCATATGTACTCATACGTGTTGCATATTTTGCCATTCGCTCTTGTAATCCGGCAGAAAGTCTCTGAAGCTGTTGGAATTCAATGTGCCAAAAGGCCTACGCCCGGGCAAAACGTGTAGTTCAGTTGCTGCGCACTTGGCCTCAGAATGCAGAGGAGGAGCCATCCATGCCATGCTTTTTCAAGCCAGTTATGGGAGGTAGATCAAGGTAGATCAAGGTAGCATGTTCAATTGTCCGGCTCCAAGGAGAGTCCCAAGCATAGACCTACTGTTTTGGGCATAGAGCGAGATGATATACTGAACGTATCTGAACATCTCAAAATACAGATAAATACAGTCCGACCCGATTTTTTTTTACTGGGATGATTGGGATGCCTTGCCAAAAGGCGAAAGCTTTGAGGGAGAGCAATCCATGAGAAACTGCTCAGTGGAATTGACGAAGATCCCTCGAGGAGATTGTGGTGATTGTCTCCCACTGCGACTTCATTGGTCTTTTGGGGTGCTTCGCGGGAGAGCGGGAAATACCAAGTGTTTTGTTTGAGAAGCCTCTCACAATTGCTGCTTCTGGGCGGAACCCCCTTGATTGGGCCTTGCACGTGGTTACTATATGTTGCTGTGCAGCTGAGGCGCCTTCTTTTGGTATTTGGCAGTGGACCTGCTGGAGTAGGACCAGGAGATCAAATCAATTCAAGCGCAGAACATTTCGCTGAGGAAATGTTCTGCGATAGTCACTTCGAAGCAATCCGGAAGTTTCGGTTTTTGAGAGTTGTCCAGTCCCTTCCCAGACTGACTATTTAACTCTATTTGAAGCCTTTGAACATCTTTGAACATTTTGCATCATTTGCAAGATTTGGAGCCAGCGATTGCCGAAGAGGGCCCACAAAAGTAGCAGGGAATCTGGAGTTGCTTTGACAAATTGATGGGATCAAGAGGATTGCTTTAAGCATAGGTCCTGATATGTCCTGATGAATGTAACATACTGTGAATTCGATTGAATCCTTGGATGTCGGCATGGATGGCCCAGCTTGTATTGCTTGTCAATTCGTTGTGTCCCAAGACTCTGACACCTTGAGGCTATTGGTCAATGAACAATACCGGCATCAGTCATTTTATCCTTGGAGCAAGGAGAGGATGCATCGCTGCTGCCACCCTACACAACATGGCACTCCTTGGAACACTCATGAGTCACTGAGTCACTCATGTTTCTTTGAGTTTTCCAGCTACACTGGCTTATACTGGCTTATACTGGCTTATACTGGCTTCAATTCCTCAATGTGGATTTTTTGAGGCCGCCGCAGGGAGCATACCCAGTTGACTCGTACTTGTTTCCCGGCAGCAATTTCGCGACCATGATGCCTTGCCTCAGGCCTTTGACACACTTTAAGGGTCATACGAATGCACTGTAGCCACAAACACAAAAATTGTATACCGAGGTTGTATTGGAATAGAAGTGACCACTTGGCTGAACATCAGCGCAGTGGCATTCAGTTCAAAAACATTGGATTCTCACAAGCTGCTGAATGGGCGCGAGTAACTTGACCGAAGCAAGATGCTGTTCCTTGATGTACTGTACCTGGTATTCAGTAATATGTATTCATTAAAAGCCATGTCCGTTGGAGCGAAGACCTCTTGCATTCGCATTCTTGGCCATGCACGTCCTTGCCCGCCGAGGTGGGACAGGGCGGAAGCGATCTCGATCCAAAGTTTCATGAGCACAAAGTTATTCACATCCCATGGCAGGCCGGAGTAGATTTGAAAACGTTCAACAATCTCACTCGTCAGCTTTGCTGCATCTTCCGGCTATTGTTGTTGTGGTTGTCTTTGGTTGTTGCAATGTTTTGTACTTGTCACGGTCTTTGTTGTTCTAGGTCGTTGTATGTTCTTAATTGTTCTTACATATTATTATTATTACTATTTATTATTTAAGGGCTGACGCCCCTCGTCGGCTCCGCCGGATTTCTCGACCCTCCATTTCATCGCAGTGTGGGCTTGAAAGCTTTTGGATGGGGACCTGCTTCAGAAATATATTCCTTATGTTTTTTGAAAAACGTTCATGGAATAGGAACTTTGTTGGAAATAGACGGCTTTTATGGGGAGCAAGTGAGTTCCCGAAAGCTCCTGCCAAGGGTTTTTCCCGAAGAACTGCTGCCAATTTCAACTTGTTACTTCGTGTAAAGGCGCCTCTGTGCAAAGACTTCTCTGTGTAAAAGCTTTTGTGTGTAAAAGTTTCGTTTGAAAAACTACTTTGTGTAAAGACTTCTTTGTGTAAAAGCTTCTGTGTGTGAAAGTGTCTCTGTGTGAAACGCCTGTGTAAAGATTTCACTGTGTGTAAAAGCTTCCGTGTGTAAAAACTCTCTGTGTGAAGTGTCAAGGCTTCTTTGTGTAAAAGCTTCTGTGTGTAAACGCGTCTGTGTGTGCAAGCTATATATCTGTGTAAAGACTTCTTTGTGAAACAGCTTCTGTGTGTAAAGGCTCCTAAGAACGTTTGTGTGCAAAAGCTCCTTAGAGTAAAGACTTCTCTGTGTAAAACCTTCTGTGTGAAAAAAAGCTCCTTTGTGTAAGGACTTCTCTGTGTAAAAGCCCCTGTGTGTGTAAAAGCTTTTGTGTGTAAAAGCT